CGCCTCAAAGCCAACGCTGATTGGACGTTCATTTGGTGAACGGCTCCAAATTTTCTTTAACGGAGAGTCTCCAGACTGATTAGCGAGTGAAACCTTGAAAGCTCGCGAGATCAGGATGGTCTCACGAAGCTAGTCCCCAACCACCGGCGACCAAAACAAAGCTACGGAGCAGATAGGACATCAGGAGCACACTTGGTGTGTCATTGTCTCCGATTACGCCTAGATGGGACCGGCTTGTTTCAGAGAAACAAACTCAGGGCTTTCACTAATTCAACATAACGGTGAGTTTTATTTTTATGCTGTTCGTATTTGATTTTATGAAAGTCGTATCATTTCATTTGATCGTATTTACCCTCCACACTTTAAAGACCGGTCCGTGAAAATACTGTCTAACATATAACCGGTCTGTGGCGCAAAAAAGGTTTGGGACTGCTGCTCTACTGCACATGTGTGACACTTGCGTGATATGAATGCAGTTCACACAGGAGATCACGTTCAAGTCGGATATATATTAGGAAATGCAAAGGGCAACGCAAAAAAAATCATATTTCATAAAAAAAATCTGAGCTGAGCATTAAGGCCTGCAGTGTGAATGTAGCCTTTGGCTGCTTTTGAAGTGGTTTCCTTTATAACTTTACAATAATGAGTACAAATGCTTTAGATCTACAGATTTTACCAGAAGTCAAACATAACCAATAAACCAAGGAAACTGTAGAGCTATTTATATAATGCCTTTGGACACTGCTGGTACAGTCTATTATAAGATAGCTGAAATTTGGAATGATAATTTCTATTCTTGATCATTCCTAGCATCTTGATGCGACAAAGCATTTACTAAATTTTGGGACAATTTAGTCTGATAAAGAGTACATCTATATACATTTATATCCTCATATGTTCCTTGCAGACTTTTCCTGCACAGTAGAATATATGGCTGTTACCACGACGATGAACTGGTCTGGTCTTGCGGTGGCAAAGCAGTCTGTTCCTGTTTGCTGTCGCCTCATAGTAAAGAGCACATCAACATCCCTCCAGCTCAATGCTTCAGTGGAGGACTTTAGCAGGCAAAATAAAGTTAAATTATATCTGACGTTTTCTTGCTACTAAGCCAGCTGCCTCAATACTCCCAGCTGGAATATCAAAATAAAAGCACTTCCTGTTCCATTTTTTTTAGTAGTTTAACCAGTGGTAGCTGGTGGAGTTTTCTCCAGGGGGGGCTATAAATTCAAAATATACACCAGTATATTTATATGAATGCTAACAACAAAAAACATTATAAAAACAGGACATAATTTTAACTACGGGTTTAGTTTTTGTACATAAATCTTTCCCTATGAGGCTTTGTGAAGATAAATCTGTGTTTTACATGGTCGAATATTGTGTCACAAACCTAAAAAAATAATGTACCAGGTTAATAATGGAGAAGCTATTAGTCAGCTTTATATTTTTTTAATATATGAAACTATTTATTTCCTGAGACTTATGAGCAACTATGCAAATTAACAAAAAGTAAGAAAAAGTAGACTATATTATATTATTTTCCATGTGAATCCCAGATTCTTCATTGTTTTTTGCTTTTCCTAAAAAGTGCTTTAAATCAGTCCTACTTGTCTTTATCCATGGTGGCTCAGATCCTGGAAAAAAATTACTTGTGAGCTTCTTTGACTTGTGGTATTTATTAATGACTGTAAAGACATGCAGTTTCATATCGATAGCAGGTCCTGTGATCGAATATTTGAGCTTTAGAGACTTATTTTTATCATCTTGAAGGCTGATTTTAGGCTGAACCTACATATCTACTAGCCTGACGTAGTCCTACTCAATTCTAGTCAGAATGAGTCTGATGCTGCTCCATAGAGCTGTGATT